GTCTTGATTTGGACACTTGCTCACCAAATAGTTTCGCAACCCTTCAGCGGTCGAGTTCTTCGTTGCACGACCTACGTAGAGCCATGCCCGTCGCGTTACAGCTGCGAAAGATGTTTGAGTAGACTTGTTCCCTTCAACATTTTCTCCCGTATTCTCCTCTATTTTTGCCGTGCCATAAATGCCTTTTTGGTTACGCAGTCTTCTTTCTCCCGATCTCCTTTTATCATTACCGTTGATTTTTTGATGATCCGGGATGAATGGTTCATCTCGGATGTTTGTACTGGCTGTCACTTCTTTGGTCTCACGATCGATATGATTGTTTACAGTTTTTACCTGGTTGGTAGTTTTTGCGATTGAGTTTTTACTTCCTTCGCTGGTGGCTATCTTATTAACTTTTCCTTGCAAATACTCTATTTTTTCCTCCAGTTGGTTTACCAATTTCACGTATATTGCATTTTCCCTACTTAGCGATGTCGTCATATGGAGTATATCCGCCAACTTTCTCGCGGCATCTGGATTAGGAATACATTTGACACAGGACCAAAAAGTAAGCCTTTCGTCTGGGTTGGTATTTCCAGCACTAGTGGCACATTTGGAGTGGTACACTACATTGCACAACGCACAAATAACACCTTTTGCAACTTTTTTGTTACACGACATTAAGGCGCATTTTGAATTTTCATTCAGCTTCACGGACAGCACGCCAGTCTTGCTCGCCATCGCCAATTGGAGATGGAATAGCTGAGTTGATTACAGTATTTTATGATAACGTTGTATGTATAGCAAGTGACTTAGTGTATTTTCTGTTTTAACGTTAATTCTTATATTGAAACCACAATTATAGCTATAATATTTTATTTACATTTAGAAAAATGTCAACATAAGGCATGCCGTTTTATGAAATAAGGAAAGAAGCTCTTCTTCAATTATTTTCACATTTTAAGACGTGCATTGTCACTGTTGTCACGTTATAACACTTCTCTAAATTATAGAAAGTTCAGATATTTTTCAAAACTAAAATTTGTTTATAACGTTCCATGGATCATTTGGTAAGCACATCAAATTTCATATTTCAAGAAGACAATAAACAAAACAGTGAATAAGACATTTTAACAACCTGAAAACGATTAATCATACTTTTATAAAACTTATTACATACTTACCGAAACCAGCAATGGAAATGAAAGAGTACTGAATGGTCCCGCCGTAAGAGTGAAAATTTTCTGACTTTTTACTAACATAAATAAAATGTCCTTCTGCAACCTAAGATCCGCCTCGTACCATTTTGAAAACCAAATAGACCCAGAGATTGATTCACTCTACAAACTGTATAATAAAACAAAAAACCTTACCTGTCGTAGCTTACAGCATTTATTAGAATCTGTCCAGAAAAGCAAGCAAACGCTAAAGTAACTAGCCAACCGGAAAAATGGAGTACTGCACATAAAGGATTACCCTAGAAAAAAATGTGAAAGTACAGTAGCTAATTTACCATTAAGTATTACTTCGACAAATTCTTTCTCAATGCAAGCAAAACTTATTGCAGTAATACAAGTATGCGCAAACATGGAGTTCGAGAAGCATCCATCGAGTGCCTTTGCCATCCTAAAAGAACAATTTTATTTAAGAAAATTCTTAATTAACATAATACCTGATTATATCTGCGTGATAGATAGCGCAATTAGTGAACATATTTCGTGCGATTTCGTATTTTGCATTGTCGAAGGTTTCGCGAATCATTTGATTCAGGTGCTTGATTCTCAAAATCAAATGTTCTGCTATCTCAAACTCGTGATATGTTATTAGCGCACTGGGTTTCATTAATAATTGTGTGCAAATAATAATATACACTTGAACTGAATAGTAGATAAACGGATTTTTTGTGCTGAAAGGGGTCCAAATTGGACTGAAAAAACCACAATTTTCATTCAAACCTTCATTTCTGTTTTTCTTTTCGCATTCTTCTCTTCCTAGGAATTTTAATAGGTCATACTGTAGTACAATGAAAGACAGATAAACAAAAACGAATGTTGAAAAAATATTTAAAATTCGTTCCTTTTGTTCGAAATTGGGCGGTTTCCCAAAATTTTCAAAATCTGACATTTCCTTGAGAAGTTTTGCAACTTTTAATCGATGTTTTATATATACGAAAGTCATATAATATACACCTGTCATTGATGCCAAAAGGCTGAAGTTGTCTACCAACGACACGTTTAGATTTTCTAAAAGAAGAAACTTAGTATTAAAAAGACATTATATTATATTTTTATTTATACTTAAATAAGTGATTATAAGATGCATTAACATACTCAGAGGTAAAATTGCAGTTATAAGAACGTATACTACAATTTTGATGCTGTAAAATATGCTTGGTTTAAGTTCCTCATTAACGCCTGGCCAAAGTAAAATATATCTTAGATTTCTTCTTGTCGAACGACATATTGTAATTCCATTTTTTTGGGTTGTCATACTTTCAGACTGGAACAATAATAATAATTAAAAGTAATATATTTTTGAATTTATATAGCAGCTGAAAACACTCAAGTTAAATTTAAATTGGGACCACTTATTTTATCAGTGAGAACGCTAAATAGTGTTCAGACGGTTATTATACATACTAATAATATTTCAGAAATTTACGCTGTCGATTTTCATATTTTTAATTTCATTGAAAATCGTACCACACCAAAAATTGCAATAATAATGCGTAGACTTACCTAAAAAGTTGAATTTTTTTTAAACTTGTGTTTTAGTGTTTGCTTGGGTAACCCAACTGTAGACTTCACAGTCACTGCAAGTCAAGGTTTCTCAATGAATGGTTGAAGAGTAACTACTACGCTTACAGATGCAAATTCCAACTACATGTTTTATTAGAATAACAGTAAGGTTGTAAGGATATGTTTGTTCCACTATCATTAACGTAACAGTAATATTTTATTCACCAGTATAAAGTTTCAATTATTAGTTGAAATTATTCCTTATCATTATCGAAATTGCTGTTTAATTTCACTTAAAAAACGGATATCCATACGACACACAAATCGACAAAAATATTTAAGCTAAACGGCCTGGTCACAGCATATTGTACTTACAGTTGTTGCCTAAACACTGGAATACTCAAAACATAAAAAAAAATAAAAAAGATTATAACTTGTATTTGGATGGATCACATTAGATCGAAATCTATATTAAAATCCCTATTAGTGTATTTTATAACGACTATTAAATAAACTCAAAAGTAAGTCATTTAGACCTTGGAAATATAAATGTTGGTTATTTTTATAACCAAAAATTCTCACACCACCATGTACTTTGATATCTCTTCAAAAGTGACTTAAATGGAAGTTTCTCAAGATGTTCACAGACTATCAGTAAGATACCGTCAGTATGTTCCTATTTGTAGATATTCTACACATTTATCTAGACGATTCTGATGTTTCCTTATTGGTCAAGATATTCCTCTTTGATAATAGCGTTTCTGTCAACATTTGGAGAATCTGATTCTTTGTTGCTCTCAACTTTTGTTTTCCGAGCTGCTGCTTTACGATAAAAAAAATGGATTATTAAGAGTCCAAAACTTCCTTCGGGTTACTGTGATCAACACTGTGTGTGATGGATACTGAAGTTACTTTTTCGCACGGAACTTTTTTATATTTTGATTTATGAATGCTCCAGGCTTTGACCTCGATTAAAATCCTGATCCAGAAACACACTACTTTTTTAAAGCAATTTTAATTTCTGACATTTCTTCATTATTTTTTATAATTTAAAAAATACATGTTTTTTCTTTCCTTTATTGCTGACTAAAGTCAAAGCAATAAATTTGTGGTGTTATCAATTTTAACTTTCTTTTGTGATTTTGTGTGAATACATTTATAAAGCATCGTTAGATTTACTTTTGAACATATCATTTCGTAAAATTCTCATAAAGTGATAGGCGACACGTTTCCATTGCTCGAAGTTGTCACCTGACTGGGAAGCTCCATACACCGTCGTGAACAGAATCAACGATATTGTTTACAGAATTCGACGAGGGTTGAACACGAGAAAGAAGATTGTTCATTTAGCCCACCGCATGAAGTACAACAGTGACAACGTAGAAGTTTTTGATCGGGACGATCAGACGCGTATGGGTTCAAGTATGTACGACGATGATGACTCATTGTCAGTGATGGCGGCCGGAAAAAAGCCTGGAAGCGGAAGTCGCGATGAGCACTCCAGAAAGAACTCGTCTGCCGAAGTTCTAGAAGGGAAGTATGGCTATGAAATCTAAAGTATGAGCACTGTAGGTTATATGGCAGCAAAGTAATTTCATTTATGATTTGTAAAGAAAATAGTTTCAACATCTAAAATCACATCAATCTCTTGTGAACTTTCATACTCTTCTTTTTCAGAAAGATCCGATTTAGTTTGAATGATAAACATAAAAAAATTATGCCATTGACTGTATTCGACTTAATAGTCCAATGAGAAAAAAATGTATTTCTTTATTAAGTACTTACAGCTCAACGTAGCCTTGGACTTTGTCATAATTAGCGAACGGAATATATTTCGAAACTGGTTAATGATTTAGAAATTGAAAAACATGTTTACAACAAATCGCTAGAGCAGAGTGCATATACATATAATATAAACAAATGAATATAGATTTCCTTCATCAGTCGGAATCAATCTTGTCATCCTTGCCAAATATTTGATGTTCTCAACATAATAATAAATAAACATTAAATCAACTATTCTAGATCAGCTGTTATTATTATTATTATACCCGAAACTTGCAGCTAATGGCTTGTGTTGTGAAAAATGATCCAAATTTTTGCGTGCAACTGTACACTTCACAATTACCTACTCGTTTTATTAATTAGTTATATGATGCAATCAGAAATAAGACTGTTATTAAGTGCAAACCATTGTCAAGATTTCCATACGTTTAATAAACAAAGATAACGCTAACACATCAAATCTAGTGTGTGTCAGCAAGAAGCCACCATTCGTTGAAGATGACAGCCAGCGAAGTTCAGATGCAGCTCAAAGACGAAGAGGTAAATTAAAGACAAAACTAAAAACCGTGCTTATTTTTCAAAATACAGATTTTATTGGCACCTATTATACACATAACACAGCATGGGACGCAATATCGTAGTATTATGAGAAGACTGTGGCGTGCTTGTAATCATTGGATTAAGTGTCCCAAAGACTTGCAAAAGATATATGGTGATATTGGAGATACACTTTATACTGTGGGTCTTATGTAAGTATGCTCTGGTTACGCAAATATTAATTTAAAATTTCTTCTGTTTTATACGTGTACAGTTTAGATGATATTGAAGATTTTACTAAAATTCGACGAGGTATTCCTTGTGCCTATATGGTTTATGGAGTTCCGTTAACGGTGCAAGCTATAATACATAAAAGTATTTTGTTATTTCAAGAATTGATTTATCATCTGGGAGATAGTGAGGTGTTGTCTAGTTGTAAAAATATATAATGATAATATGATTACGTTGTACATTACCTATAGAGTTGTTTTACAAATATCCTTATTTAGGAACTCGCCGATGAATTCATTAGAGTAGGGGTCAACCTTATGACAGGACAAGGAATGGAAATATACTATAGGGACACTGAAAAATGTCCTACCTTTGACGATTTCAGGGTGGTAGTTCACGGCAGTAAGTTAAACATTAGCTTTTTTTAATTTTAATCACATAATGTGCTTCGCTTTTAGAAGCTTCCTACACCTTTATGTATGGAGTTCGATTATTAGAAATGTTTGCCAAGACAAAAAAAATCAATTTCAGTCATGAATTTTGGGATAAAATGGGTTACTTCATTCAGGTATACAACGACTATATAAATCTACGCGATCCTAAGGTAAGGAAACTATGATTTTCAAATTTGATTTAAGTAGTTTCACAGTGGGCAGCCGTTCGGATATTCTGTGATGATCTAGATGAAGGAAAGTTCAGTTATCCCATAGTTCATGCTATTCAAAGTCATCCCGAAGATCATCGCCTTACAAGTATGCTTTACACAAAATATTTGATCAATCGACTTAATTCATTATTTTAGATATGTTGAAAGAAAGGCCACTTGATTTGGAAAGTAAGAAACTTTTTGTAGATATAATGGAGAGTTTTGGAAGTTTTGAGCACAGTCGCCAATTTCTGGAGGATTTGAAATGTGGAATTATCGAAGAGGTGAAAAAAATGAAATTAGAGAGAAATCCACATCTAGAGAGAGTTCTCGATAATATATTCGCTAATCTAGAAACTAAACTTTTTATATAGATGCCTGGATAAGCAAACAAGGTTGTTCTCATAACGTAATGAGTTCGAATCATAGACGGTGGCGGGGTACGGGTGATCAAAGTGTGATATGTTAATGAATTTAGAAAAACAAGCTTTATAAAAAGATGTAGTGTCATTAAAAAAAAGTAAGATATCGAAGACAAATAACAAACATGAAGGACAAAAAAACCGACGACCTAACACATAATTATATATTCACTTATTTTATGGTGTTGGTATCTCAATAATTCATACCGTGATTTCAGCTCTTAAGATAAAGATTTTTTGTTTGGAACTTCAGCTCTTTAAAGTGTAATGCCTTGAATTACTTTAATAAAGGATTTCTCATTTTATGACCAAATTCATCACCTTTAGTTAAAATGTCTTTGCGTAAAACAAAATTATCTCATCTCGTCAATAGCCGTCGATACATACCTATAAATATGACGAGTATTTTTTTTTTAATTGAATAGATTGTGATGTTTTAGTTTTGTCTGTAGGCTACCTCTTCGTCTTGGATCTGCGTTTGAGGTCTACCTTCAGCGAATATTTGCTTGTTGTTGGTTAAGTAGAAACGGTTTGAGAAAGTTTTACGTCTACAGAGCTTGATTTACATCATTAGAATTATTAACATTTTAGAATATTTAATAACAGTTTCAAATTATTATCAAAACCAATATGCAAAATTCAATATTTACTCCTTATTTTAACACTACCACCACTCCTCAACTGGTTAGAGGGACTTTGCGCTCGATTTTCTTCCTTGAATTGATAAGTAAGTACACTCAAAAAAGTGGAAAGTGGAAAGAGCGACGTGAGAAATCAACGACCGAGACGTATTTTCCGCGACGAGGTATGCATTTTGTGTTTACTTATCGTGTGTTTGTTTGGGATAAGCTGGGGACAGTCCACGATATAATCTCTCAAAGCTAATTGTTTTAAGTAGCCAGTCACTTTGATCAAGTCATTGTTTAACATCATTTAAATTCTTTGTTTGAATCGTAAATAAAGTGTGGCATTATTTAACATTACGTAAATTCTTTGTTTGAATGGTTGCTAAAGTGTGGCATAACTTAACATCATGTATTTTTTTTTTGAATCGTTGATGAAGTGTGGCAAATATTAACCTCGTGTAATTTTGTTAGGCTCTGCAATTTTTCACCTCATGCAATTTTTCTCTATCTCGCAATTTTAGTCTCAGTAATTTTCTTTACTGTATAATTTAAATTGAACGTATACTTTCACCCTCTGCAGTTCCTAACCTCACGTAATTTTTTTTGTCTGCACTTCACACCAGTTCTTTTTTGTTTTTATAATCTTTGCTAGTTATTGGGTAATTGGAGCACGAATCTGACTATAATGGGATTATCAGAAAGAACTGGCAGTAACTGGGGTTTTCCACCTTGCTTTTTACCAGTACGTTGTGTGTGTATTATTCGAAATGAAGGACAATCAATTCAGATGTGAGGTCGATAAACTTAGTAAATTTGTAATTAGATTAATATCCCTGACACCTTCTACTTCATGAAGTCCATACATAATGAGATTATTAGAACGTGTCGAACGTTCTTTTATTTCACTCAAATTTAGACTCTCCGGGGGTCCTGAAGAAGTTGTATCATTATCATGATTTATAGTTTTTACTTGATCTTGTATATTTACAATTAATTGAACGTTATTGACATTAGAATTTATGTCGTCAATATTCTTTTCCACTTGCACAACTTTTGATTGTAAAGTTTTTATAGAACTAGAATTGTAATGTAAAACTTGCGATATTCGCCGTGCTTCCCTGGTGTATAGTTGCTTATGTGTGTTGTAGAGATCGAAGTGTAGTTGTGAGTGCTGTTGGAGGTAGTTGTTCAACCCTTATATCGAGGTACCCCTACCATAAACACCCCTACTAGTGTACATAATTGTTGGGAATTGGCTGTACGACCAATGGCGTGGTATTTACAATATTAATTATATTACACATACACAAGATGACTCTCAATCATTATCCCATGAGTACCGATAGATTATATATCAGATTTCAATTCATCCAACTTTGCGTCTAAACCAGTTACTAATTGAGCATGAGCTTCTTGAAAATTGCAATGCGGATATTTCATTTAGTTTAGCAATTAACGTTTCAAAATGATAAACCGTAAGAAAATGTGTGCCATCAGTTCCCTCAGGATTTACAGACGAGACTCTAGCACTACGGCCACGACATTGTTGGCAAACCTATTTATTAGAATTGCTGTCAGCAGGTGGTGCAAATTAATGGTTTCGCATTAGAACCCAATTTTTTTAACATTCAAAGCAAGTGAAGACAAGCGAAAAAACCCCACGCCCTCCGCTTGTTATCTTTCTCCGCTTATCAACATGTTATTGTGCCGCCACAGTACTCCCCCCCCCCAGCGACACAGCGTGCGGTCGTGCTGGGGTGCGAAGGAGATAGATGCTGGCGTCGCCCCTGGTACTCTTACGGTCGTCGTTCCAACCCTGGCTGTGCTGCGGACCCCGAACACAGCGGACACAGGGCGGTAGCAGAAGGATGTTGCGTGCGTGCGTACGTTGCTTCTGTCGGTAGTCACCAATGAAGGTAAGCCAAGAAAAATGTTGTTGACTAGGTGGGAATCAAACTCCACGCCCCCCACTTGCCGGGCAGGTATCCTAACCACTAGACCCCGACGCCGCTTGTCTTTCTCTGCTTACCAACGTGTTATTGTGCCACCATACAAGTATCCGACATTGTATCACTATCTTCTGTTCAAGTCACGTGATAACAAATAGGGAAAAAACGCTGCTATCAGCAAATTCTTATCCGACTCGTTGTGAGTAGGTGAAAATTATATCTAAGGAAAAAGCTGCTATAATTACAGTCCTTCAGTCTAGAAAGAATATAACAATTTTCACCGATAGAGGTTGAATGTTAATTCTAAGTATACATATTTATAAATAATAATAATTTACCACTATTTAAGCGACAATTTCATCAGCGTGCCACACACACGACACGGTTCAGCTTACTTCATTAATTAATAATATGAAAAAGGTTTTTGTTAAAGCTCCTTTAAGAGTACAAGTAGGTTGTGACGTCACTCCCGTCTGACGTCAACTACAGCACCGGCAGTTAGATTTCATCGGAGCAAGGCCGTGGATCTTTATTATTTGGGCTGGTGACAATATTTTGGGCCCCAGTCGACAGAATGTCGACGAGAAAATGAAAAAAATAAAGTTTAGACGTAGAGGGAAGAAGAGGTAGTTGAATGACAGAAACAACCAGTGGCGGCTCGTGACCTAAAATTTTGGTGAGGCCACACCTTATGACGTAAAAATAGTTAAATACATATAATTTTTTTTTATATCTGTAAATTACTCTACTCTGTCAGTTGAAAGTGATACCTGAGATTAAAAAAATTTCCACTTCCATTTTTCCCACACTTGGCGACTTACTTAAGAAATTTGGAATTGTAAGTTGCTTTTATACGTCAATACTAGATGAAAATTTATTTTATCACGAATTCTGCGTTTTTTGATCACAGGAAATTTGAACATAAAAAAATATTAACAAAAATGCACCACATAATCAACTGTCCGGCAAGAACCGACGTGTAGTTTTCTTGCCAAGAAAGAAGGATAGGGCAGAATAGGAAACAAGAATGATAACAAGTGGAAGGTTTAAAACAAAGATAAATAAAAAATGTGGCAAAACAATAGTAATATAAGTAAAATGAAAACTTAATAAAAATTGTAGTTTTCGAACAACCACTTCAAAACCGTGGTTAATAACAAAAAAAGATTTATAAATATATAAACAATAACAATACTTATGGATTAATTTATCTTGTAGGTTGTATTTACTGAAATTATGTAGCAATTGAAATAAACCTTCAGAAGTTCGTCCAGAACTAACATCGAAAAACCCCATGAATCTTTCGACAATTTTACCGGAGATAACGTAACGAAAAATAACTGATAATTGCGATTTACAACTTATGTCAGTCGTTTCATCAATCTGGCAGGAAAAAAAAGGAGCTTCAAAAATTTGTTTGCTAATGTTCTTGTTTATGGAAAAAGAAACTGATTCAGCTAACTCGTTCTGAAAACACGGGTTTATTGTCAAAATCTTTTTCATATCTATTCAACAATGAAATTAATTCTTTGAAATTTCCGCGATTGAAAGACGTTTCTGACTCGTCATGTCCTCTAAAGGTAAGCACTTGTGTACACATAGCAACATCACTTAACCTTTTAATAATTTTCCTATTTTCGCGAACTTTGACATTAAAATTTTCTATTTCAATTTTGCGAGCAGAATCTAGAGTACTGGCAATATTCTGTTGGCCGAGAAGAACAAACTTGGAAGTAGATGATATGTGATCTTTACTTTTGGAATATTTTTCCAAGGAACGCGAAAAATTTTTCAAATCTGCATATCAAGTTTCTCACCAAACCGATTCTCCACTATTCGAGAATAAAATACATGGCCAACAGAAAAGTTTATTCACAGTTGTACTCCCAGCAAGCCAATCATATTTTGTATACCAATTGAGACTGAACACCCTGTTTTTTTGTTTTTCTCTTTGAATTAATGGACGTTTGCTTTACTTTACAAACAGTTTATCTTCGTATGTTAACTTATTGGAGGGACATTTATTCACGAGAAAGTTAATAACAATGTCATTTGTATTTCGAACAGTGGAGATTACCTGAGTACCAGATGGGCCTGCGTCCATGTTCATTATTATTTAATTACAAATAAAATTAATCGGAGTATCCACAATCCACTACTTAACCAAGTACCGAACTCTTTAACGACAACGACTGAAATTTAAAATTTATGCACTCTGCAAAATGCAAAACGCACGTGCATGTTGACCTATGATGTGGACTGAGCTGAGAAGGAGAACCAATCAGACAAGAGCTGCGGCCGGCCTCAAAACTATCTGTCCTAAAGCATTTGATTCCCATAATAAACGGAACCGGTAATACTGTGCGTTGTAAAAACA